AAAAATTTGATGATTTACTCAAGGGTCAAAAAGATTTCAAAGGCATGGAAATCGTAAATACTTCGGTTTGGCAAACCCATTTGGCCATTTCGGATAGCCAAATTAATGCTATAGTTTCGAACTGTCTGCTGTGCAAAATTTAACTAGAGAACTAACCAAATTATCTATTTTTGCAAGGGAGCGTTTGGAAAGTGGTGGATATTGGACTCCTTTCTCATAAAGTCTAATAGCAAAATTTCCTCTTTAGTAAAATTGAACCTTTATAATCTACATAGCTAAATAAAATTTAAAAATTTGAAAAAATTGTTTTTTCTATCAATTGATAAAATTGCACATATTATCTTATATATTCTAGAAAAAATAAAATATTTTTTTGATATATTGGAATAAAATCTCTATTTGTCTTTCACAAAAAATTATAGTAGAAATTATGAATAAAAATACATCATATTTTTTTTAATCGTTTAGGATCTCCAAAACGATAGGAACGATTCTGCGTCTCCCACAAATATAGAGGATTCATTATTTTGGGGATGTCTCCTCTAAATCTTGTTTCGTTTAATTTGCTCATACATTCAGTACAAAGAAATATTCATGGATCCACTACTGCTGGTTAATGATGTATATACATTTAAAAGTTCTTATTGTATGGATCCAAAACAAGTCGTACACTTGTACTAAGCCCTATTAATTCGGTTCGCCGTTTTGCTTAAACCAGTCGACATGTCAAATCTACTTTTTCACATTCTTACACATCAGATGGAACAAAGTTGTCGACATAATTGTGACCTCTCGGTGGGATTTGTTGAAACCATGTGACCAACATCAATACATAACTACACCGGCAAAAAATATCTGATGTTTTTATATATAGTTACTTGGTCATATTCATAGGTATCGTGATCGTGATCGGCATAACTCATAATATATTCATATGTATTAAAAAATGTGGACTATGTGAAAATTGTAAGATTGTTAATTAGTTAGCCGTCTTTGTCATTGCTTAATTTACAAAATGCTTAAACAACAAGGACCACCACTTTACCCAAATTGATTCCACCTCTACATCCACCATGCACTTCACATTTTCAACGTTTTTCTTTTCAATTTCTCAATCATATTTCTTTATTAATAAATAAATAAACCCACGGGCCGCAAAGTCTTTCAATTCCACATTCATCTAGTTATCCAAATATATAGCATTTTCAACTGTAAAGAAATGCGCTTATCTTATAAGGTATAATTGAAGGCTACGTACAGAGGTAGTTAGACCACGTTTAGTAATGTCAAGCAAAATTTAGATTTATAACTAGATCATAACCCCAGCACGGATGAAATTTTAATTTTTTAAATATTTATATAAAGTTGGATTATTGTTTGTTTTATAGTACAATTTTAATAATTCTTTACATAATACAATGACATATAAGGATTTTTTATTTTATTTTATTTTGTATGATGAGAAAATATTAGGGGCGGGGTACGGTTTTTCGGTTTAGTATCGTTTTTTTCGTTTTGTAGAAAGTGAAACCATATAGAAACCGTATGTAATTCGGTTTAGTTACAGTTCGATTTTTACGGTTTTTTACGTTTTTTTTGTTAGAAATAAAACGTATGTATTTGATATATGCTAGTAGTAAGTGAAAAAAAATTGCGTATATAATAAACATATTTTGGTATATAATAAGATTAAATTCAATCCGTGCGTACCTATATTTTTATTTTAGAATCCCAATGAAAAAATTGTGTGCACAATCCATCATTCATTATTTTCATATATACTTATAGAATCAAAATTTTAAATATTTAGAGGTGTCAAACCTTATTTAACTTATCTCATCATATAATCTTAACATGGTTTCGGTTATAAAGATCATAACTCTTTTTATCATATAATACATTACATATAACCTCCTGCTTGCTATAAATATTTTAAATATTTATGCTTTGAAAAATGAAATTAGAGTATTTATAACTTTTATCTTTTGATTTATTAAATATTCATGATATTCTTTAAAATATTATATTAAACTATTTTTAAAAATTTCCAAATTAAAATATTTTTTTATTTTTTATTGTAGAATATAAAATTAAGAATTTTTTAAAAATAATTGTATGAACTTAAATATAAATATTCAAATAGTTATAAGGATCATAACTCATTCCATCATATAATACATTATATTTAACCCACCGTCTATTATAAATATTTTTTAAATATATTTGTTTTAAGAAAACAAAATTAGTGTATGTATATTTTTTATTTATTAAGTATTGATGATATTTGTTTTTAAATATCAAGTAAAACTATTTTTAAATATTCCAAATTAAAATATTTAAAATTTTATCGTAGTATATAAAATTATATATTTTTAAAAAAATATGAAATTGAATATAATTACTCAAATTCTGACCCGTTATTCAGGCGGAATTTTTGTTGAATTTATTTTTGTTTAAAAGAAGTATATCATCCAAGTCTAAATTTTTGACTCCTTAAATTTTTTTTCATAAATTGAATAATTTATATTCGTTTTTAAAAATTCAAATCATGGCATATGCGGAAAAAAATCTATTATATTATTATATGGATGATATGATGATTTATTTGTTTCACAATATAATCATATAAAGATGAGAGGTGAAATATAATGATTAATAACAAATTAATAAGGTAAGTAATTATATTCAATTTCAAATCTTATATATTCATTTTGATTGGTCATTTAAAAATAATAATAATAATATATTTTTCGTTTTTATAATTAAATTGTATAAATTGACTTGTTTATCCTTAATGAGATGAATTAATTTACTCTTTGAAATTTTATTTCTAGTGACATTCTTAAGTAAATTCTTACAAAGGTGAAGGGTAATTAAGGCTAATTGTAAATTATACTCCCCAAATAATAGTATAGGATATGAAAGTATTCACACTTTATTAAAACATAATAATAATAAAAAAACATAACAACCTTAAAAACATTATGTAAGCAAAGACCAAAGGATGTCACTAAAATTTTCAAGTTTTCCTCAACTTTTCATTTGTTTAAATAATGTGAACAAGAAAATTCAACAACTTTTACTCAATAATTTCTCAAACTAGTGTCACTATTTAGATTCATACTGTATTTAATATAGTTATATATTCCACGTTATAAAATATTTATTCGAAACCACCTCATCTCAAAACTATCTTATTCTTATCATACTATGGGCACCAAAACGACTTCAACTTCCCTATATAATACTACATCTGTTCCCTATATAATAATATCTTATAAATACCTTATAAATACGTTGTAAAACCTTTTAAAATACATTATAAAACCTTATAAATACCCTGTAAAAAACCTTTAAAATACCTTGTAAATTTTTCCCGCCAAAAATTTTCCCGCCAAAAAAATTGCGGAATCACTTTTCCCACAAAAAAAAAATTTTGGCGGGAAAAAAATTTTACGGGAAAATTTTACAAGGTATTTTAAAGGTTTTACAAGTTTTTACAAGTGTTTTGGCGGGAAAAATTGCGGGATCACTTTTCCCGCCAAAAAATATTTTGTATTTTGTGGACCTAATTTTGTTATATTTCCTTATATATTTGTGATATCTTTTATTAAAAGAAGGGTAATTTAGTCATTTTGTACATAAAAAGGGGTATTTTTAAAAATGGACAGCTAAAGGGGGCATTTTTGAAAAGGGGTATTGAAAAATGGGCATTTTTGTGAGTCTCCCTTTTTTTTTATCTAAATTGAACATTTTTTTAGTTTTTTTTTCTCGAAAACCGATCTAAAACCGATCCGAAACCGATCCGAATCCGACACTATCCGAACTGAACCCGATTCGAATAGTCATAAAATCCGAACGGATAATAAAATCTCATATCCGAATTATCCGAATCCGAATAAATCCGAACCGAATCCGATCCGAAATCCGAAATCCGAATGCCCATGCCTACATCAAACTATAAGGAATAGAGGGAGTATATATATATAAATAAAAGTATTTTATTCGATTCATAAAGTATTTAGATGACCAAGACTTACTAATAGTCAATTTATTTGTGTGAATATTATTATTGTGTCCAGTATTTGGATTCAACATAAATCATGTTTTTATTTATAGCAAGTATATTGTAGTTTTTTCTTCTAAATATAAGAATATTGCTGTAGGCAATTAACAATTACTTTATTTTAAAATCATAAACATCTCCTTAACACTACAATATGTATTAAATTTATCTTTAACCATACTTTATATTTTAAATTACACTTTTGCAAGCAAATATTTTATGTGAGTCCAGCCATTAGAAGAAAAATCTTCTATAAATAGATAACAAACATGTCGAAGTCGAGAAAACACTAGTTGGATATTTTTCGTGGATTTTTGAATGTATAATTCGATAGATAAAATAGAGTTATGAATTTTGGTTGGAAACTAGAAAATAGAAAGATGTGTTTTGGGATGTCTGGCCTAAAAAGATAGATGTGTCGTACTATATTACTTTCTAACTCATTTTCAAGTGAAAGGGAAGATAGGCTGTTTCTTTCAAAAAAGAGAGAGATTGAGAGAGAACAAAATCAAAATATTTAATCAATTGTTGATGTAAAAAATAATTATTTTTTAGTAAAATAAAAATTGAACTTTTTAAAATATACTTAACAATTAATGGTTATCGAGCCAAATTATCCAATAAAACCCCAGATCCTTTAATCCGCAATAGTAATCACTACATTCATATACACTTCGTGTGAATCAAGCAATCTTATTATAAACCATCCTCTAAAATAAACTATTCAAATTTACATAAATCTGAACGCCTTTTGGGTCAATTACGTAATCATATTAAAATTAAGCATTATACAATTGAGATTCCAAGAAATTAAGACCCACTTGGCTTTGCTAAATTAAATAAGAGATAATGATAGACATAGATGTTGTTAACAAGTGTGTTTGCATGTTAACAATAATTGGTCGGTTAGAGAACACAGACTCTACCTATGGTTTTATAAAGTATTATTTTATATCTTGACTTAATGCTTTTATGAGTCTTGACTCCTTTCTTGGATCATAACCGGCAATCCACCATTAACCGTCGCGGTTAAACCAGGCGCAAACCGGAGTGTCTCGATTGATTCGGGACTTGCAACCCGTGTTTCGAACCTCCTAATGATTGCCACGGCTATGGATTTCATCTCCATGATGGCCATTTCTTTCCCAACACAAACCCTAGCTCCGGCCTGAAAAACCGGGTATTTAACCGGATTCTCGGGCCGGAATTTTCCATCGTTATCCAACCACCTCTCCGGTTTAAACTCTTCGTAATCCGGACCCCAGATCCGGTCCATCCGACCCATTGCATAAGCATGGTACGTGACTCTAGTCCCTCTTTTCACAAATGTACCATCAGACAAAACGTCATCGTTTAAAGCAAATTTGGAATCGAATTGAACCGGCGGAAACAATCTCATGCTCTCGTAAAGCGCCGCATGCAAATAATCCATCTCTCTCATTTCATCGCAACGTGCAGTGACCGAGTCAAAACCGGTCCCCATCACCCGGTCTAATTCTTCCCGGATCCGGTTCTCCACATTCGGATGACGCATCAATAACCAGAAAAAACCGGTTAAACCAGCAGCAACCGTATCCCGACCCGCCAATAGAAAACTCACAACGATGTCTCGAAGATACTCGTCATCGTCCTCCGCTACCACCGCCATGAATCTCGAAATCAAATCGTTTTTACCCATTAAACCGGTTAACCTCCGTTGCTTGATTAAATCACCAGCTAACCGGTTTATCACATTGATCGATTCTTTAAGCTTTTTCTCAGAACCAATTCTTAAAAGCCTTTTGATTTTCCATAACAGAGGAAACGGAGCTAAAGCTCGTTTCGCCGATAACGTCGACGCCGTATCAAAAGCAACGGCGAATTCCGATATCGGAAAAGGTAACCGGAGACAATCTGGGTCAAACCCAAATGACAATTTACTAATCGTATCAAACGAGAATCTTCTAAACACATCTTGTAGATCCAAAACAGAACCAAGATTGTCGGAGAATGAAGTCAAAATCGGAAGAAGACGTGTCTCGATCTCGGTCTTAACAATCTCATGAGCGAAAACTCTTACAGAAACACTTCCAAGTTCCAAACTCGCTAGTTTTCTCTGGAAACGCCACGTGTCACCATCGGAATTGAAGATTCCACGGCCTAAAAGATCACCAAGAATAACAGAGAATTGTTTGCCTTTTGGGTAATTGTGAAAATGGGTTTTGAGGATATGTTCAACGTTTGATGGATTCGCTGTGATAACGCTGTTTAAGACGTGGACTTTGATCGTTGACGTTGGAGATCGCCGGAGAAGATGAGTGTACCAATCACTGAGATTGATGAAGTCTTTTCTCCAGCTTGAAGTGAGATAAGCATGGCAGATCTCGCAGTTGCAGTAACGTAGTTTTTGAAGGAAGAGTATGTGAAAGAGTGAGAACAATATGAAGAAGAAGAAGGAGACGATGATGAAAGATATGATTAGTAACATTGTTGATGAGACAGAGAGAGAAAAAAAAGTATGGGAAGGTGAGAGGAAAGAGATGAGTTTGTGTTACAAGAAAACTTTTGAGTCAATTAAATAGAGATTCTTTGTTTGTTTTTTTTTTTCTTAATCTCATTTATTGTGGACAAAGACATGTGTTCTCTAACGTTTATTTAAAACATATTTCTAATAAGACCAGAAAGTGAATAGCGCAGAAATTAACAAGAAATGTTTTTGAAAAAAGTTCATGAGACAAAAATTTTGAAGTTTTTTTGATAAAGATAAAAAACAGTTTTGCTATTTTTGTGGTTACATCATTCATACATATGAAGGATACGAGTATTTACAATTTTTTTTGATGTTTAAGATTCCTCATTTTCAGCCAACAATTTCAACTTTGTTTATGTTGTCGACATGAAGTACCTTAATTATGTCGACAAAAAGATTCTTTATTTGTTTTTCGTACATACGAGATAAGACTTTGTCAATCATGATTATAATTGTATTGCATTATTTTGTTGGGTAATTTAGGTACATGACTATAATATTGTGAGAGTTGATTAAGTAAATGACTAGTATAATATATATTTTTTTGAAAAAGAAAACAGTAAATTGAAATGTTGTGTTTTATAAATAACATGCTATGTTTTTTTTTTAAAACATGTTATGTAGAGTAAAATATGGTGCTACTTTACAAAAATGCATATTATGTTGGAAAATAGTACTCATTGTTGTATAAATAATCCAAAATCATTTGGGGATATGTCTTTTGTCAAGTAATTAAGTCCATTTGACTCGACTTTTCCAATGAAGTTTGACTTTATTAAATCGCTTTACCCGCATAGTAAGGATTCACTATGGATCGATCCTTGTCGATCCAAAGATTTTAAAAAGAAAAAAGTCCAAAATCATTTACCTAATCTAATAAATATTTAATATCAATAATAAACATTCGATTTTTAAATTTATCCCTTTTATTTTATTGGGACATGCCAAAACTTTTTACTATTTAGTAGATTTTCAAGATTATAAATAACTTTTCAAAAGTTATTATATCAACTATAGTAGCTTTTTACTATTATCAGATTTTTTTTTGAATGTAATGTTACATTAAATTTAAAAAAAATATATATCGTTTTTACAACATGTGCAACGTTTAATTGAAAGAAAACTTAAAATGGAGACTGAAAATGTTTAGTTATTAGATTCTTGATGCAAACCAAGTTTGGAGGCCCTTATCATAGTGCCTAACCTCGCTTGCTCGGATTGAACTGAGTTGATTTTGGAGTTGCTTATCGATCCATTTGATTAGACGATCTGTTGGGTTCGGGTTCTCGCCATGTCGTCTCCTGTTCCTCTCACGCCAAATGGTATGCATTGTCGCTTGGAAGATATATCGAGCAATGAAACTTTCTACTCGGTATTGCCAGTGACCAGTGATAGCGATGAGCAAAACTGACCAGTTTGTGGAGTACCTTGTTTTGTAGATGTTTTTAGCTAAAGCTTCCCAGATTCCGGCGACATATTGGCAAGCGAAAAATAGATGGTCTCTTGTTTCAATGTTGTTGTTGCATAAAACACAGTTTACTTGTGTTCCCCTGTTCCATTTTAGCATGCGATCGCCTGTTGAGAGTCTGTGTTACAGATTTTTTTTTAATTAGAATCAAATTTGTTGTTGTGGTAACTTGTTGGTTCAATATATTGTAAATATGGTAATATGTATACCTTTTATATATTAATTGACCAACAAATTAGAATAATAACATTTAATTTGTAAGTTTTTACATCAAATGCCATTAATATACTTTCTCTATTCCTTTTTATAAGAATTTTTGCTAAAATTGCGCATATTAAAAATTATTATTTACAAAACGATAATTTCATATTTTAATTTAAACAACTCAACCAATCATAAAAAATACTGCACATATAAAAAATCACAAAATATTAGATACATATAAAGTATAAATAGAATCTTGCAAAATATCTAATAAGATGAATTAAATAAAAAATCCTAAAATATCTTATTAAATGGGACAAAAAGAATATTAATCTATTGTTATTATTTATATAGATTCATTCATATTAAATATTCTATAAATCTAGGCATAATCTTCTTATAATAATTACTCTATGATATGAAATATTGGTTTCATTATTTATCATATACAAATTATAAATATATTATATATATATATATATATATATATATATTTATATATTAAAATCATTTGTGCTTGCTCTGCAGTTGGTACAAACTTTGCAGACGATCGTACATGCTCTTGTGTACTATATATTAGCATGTCGGTCGATCGTCAGCTGTAAGAAAAAATATATATAAGTAGTAAGTGCTCGAGTATTTTGTTCAACCCCAACTTGATCAACCCGACCTATCGAATTAACGCTCACTCTACTCGATATACTATCTCGAGACATGTAAATTTTATGAATGCAAACCATCTCGTTAGGATTTGGTTTTAAATTTTGAACACTATATTTTATCGATTTCTCTAAAAATAAAGCTGTTTTTCGTAACTTTTACACTCGATCTCACTCCTCTTTTCTTTATGACTGTCATTTTTTCTCACAAAAATACTGACTTTGTTTATATTATTAGAAATAACTTACTCATTAACATGATAAAAATATGGGCCTCATGAATTTTTTTTGTGGACCTGACGTAACAAAACCTATTTTTTTGTGCATTTTCCAATTAAATATGTGTTATTTTGTACTAACGTAACCATATAAGAATCCTCGAAAAATATGAGTTTCATGTGTTTGTTGTTTTTTGTAAAAAGATTTCTTCTAAAGATTGGATCTAACGGGAAAAAAAATTATAAATAGTTTGGTGCTAAAAAGAGGAAGCATTAATCATTAATGCATTATCTGGATCTAAATTTTTTGATAAAAAACCTGACAAATAATATCGATTGCTTAAACAATATTAAAAATGACCAAAATTCAGATTTCCCAGCTATGCGCCAAGAGAAGCTACGCCAAACCAGTGATTCTGACATGGAATAGATGCTCAATTTATCGTTGATAAATTTAAAGACCATGTGATACACAATAGATTAATTAACGTTTTTTCATATAATAAAATCCATTTATTAGAATTTGATATTTATTTAGTGTTTACGTTTATGTTTGTATTTATCATAAACATATATTCCTATTTTTAAAAAAAATTCATTATTAATTTTAATTTCTTTTTATCCATATGCTTGTAATTAAAAAATTTTTTTATAAAAAAGTTAGCTTATATTTTTTTAAAATATAAGTAGAAACATAATAATTTAAAAATATTTTTTTGAGGGATCTGCAAGGAATTTTCAGAAAATGTGTTATAAGTTAGTGAGAAATCTTTGTTTTTTTTGTTTCTTACAGGAGAGAAATATTTTATTTTAAATTATATAATCTAATTGTTTGTGCTAGTGTCATTTCTATGTTATAACTCCAATTAAAATTTCTAAAAATTGATTTTTAAATGTTTAAAATTATAACGTTTAAGAAATTTGTTGGCTTATCCATTAATAGACCGTTGGAGTTGTGTTAGTTAACACGCGTTCGCAAACTTATTCGTGCATTTTGCTAATAACTCATTTCCAAACGGTTACGTTCACCAACCAACCTATATTCATGCAAATTTTTTTTTGGGAAAATTGGAAATAAAGGACAAATAATTAAACTATTGTCCATCTATACATTCTATATTCATGATTGGTCATATATACTTTAATATTGGTCATATATGATTTCATATAATTAAAATCCAAATATGCCCCCAGTCTTTTATAATCTTACTAAACTATTAAAAAAATTCAAAATTAAATTGATTTCTTTCTAAAAACAGTTTGGAAAAAATATAGGACAAAATCAACATTTATTTACATTCCATTATTTGTTTTTCCGTCGATAATTTCATATCTTCTTCTTCTTTGATTCTCTTGCTCATCAAAGTTAACCTTTCGTAATTGTTCTCTCCTCTCTAATAACGCCATATTAAATAACTTTTTTTTTCTTCTTCTTCTTCAATCTCTCTCTATCTCTCTCCCTTGATTTCAATTTTGTAATGGAGCGCAACTGTAATTTTCCGGATTTTGAAACAAGAAATTAAGCGTAATCTATAGAAAAAAGTGTGAAGTATAAAGAAAAATTCTAATTTGTCTTATAATTTATTCACTTAGGTATAAAGATTTTTTAAAGTATTCAGAACTCAACTAATTTTCCGGGTTTTGAAACAAGAAATTAAGCGTAATCTATAGGAAAAAGTGTGAAGTATAAAGAAAAATTCTAATTTGTGTTATAATTTATTCACTTAGGTATAAAGAATTTTAAAGTATTCAGAATTCAACTTCTGTAATTTGCAGATGTAATCAAATTCACTATATTCAATTTCCATATTTTAAGATTTTTTTTTTTTTTTTTTTTAAATCTAAATTAGAGAGAATGTACTTTCTAATTTTTATAGAATAAAAAAAATCTTAAGAATATGTTTTCTAACATTCTTAGAACATGAGTAAATGTTAGAAAACATATTCTAATTTTCGTAGAACAAAGAACAAAGTATAGAATATGTATTCTAAAAGTCGTAGAAACTAGTATTCTAAATACCGTAGAACAGAAATGACTTCTAAATTTTGTAGAACATGTAGAGTGTGTAGAATACACAATCTAAATTTTGTAGAACATGTAGAGTGTATAGAATATACATTCTAATTTCAGAAGACATATTCTAAACTTTATAGATCGAATTCTATCCATCTAAAACGACAACAAAACAATATAATTTTGACATTTTATATATCGTCGTGTCTTCTACATCATTTTAATACATATTTTTCTTAATTATTTTTGAAATAATTGGTTCAATCTTATGCAAGGGGTAGTTTAGGAATAGTTAATATTTGTTCATAGAATTCATATATGGACAAATACTTAAATATTTATCCTTTATTTCCAATTTTCCCTTTTTTTTAATCTACTTACTATTCAAACAAAATGCCAAAATACACCAAACTAATGGCCACTATTTTCCAAAATTTGTTTGAAATTCTAAAAAAACAAAGTGAAATTGAAAATTTATTTTATTGTTGATATTTATGGTTACTTAATAATTTTTTAAAAAAGACTAGTATATCTTGAATCGACTCAAACTAATTGTTATAATTACTAGATTTTGATACTTGTGTTGGAAAATAATTATCGTTGTACCCATAACAAATTTTTTTTGGTATACTTGTTTTGAGTTCTGCTTAGTATATCTTCACGAAGAAGAAAACAAAGAAGAAGAAAAACACGTGCTTCGTAAGAATTAAACATGTGAGTTTAAAGACGGTGTTGAAGTTAGCAAGTGGTCATGTCTCATGTGTGTTCAAAGTATATAACTGCAACTGGGACATTGGTTTATGCAATTTGCATGTCGACACGCGTCTCTCATGCACTGAACTAGCTGTTTCAAGTTGACGTTATTAGTCGTTACTTCGAGAGTCAGGAAAAAAACTTTAATAGACAAAAACAAAATGAAATGTTTTTAGCAAAAGGACAATCGTTCCACTGTAGCAAAACCTCTTTTTCTCTCTCGTTTTCTCTTTCTAGATCTGAGTTTAGGTTCTTTGGATCTTCATTGTTAGGTATCGGATTTACAGAGAAGAGACAGCAGTGAGTTTGACATCTTCTCCGTCGATGGCGGTGTGGATTCTTTCCCATTGGAAGCAGTTGCGGATCCAGTTTGACGGCAGGGAAGGCTCGCGGTCGTGTCCAGTCTTGGTTTGAGGACGCCGGTGGAACGTTGCGGGTTATTCTCACGGCTCAACCGTCACATTGGTCGCTGCGGCTGCGGCGGAAGCCAATGGGAAAGAGGTGGGTTTCGTCGATTTGTCACGGTGGTTAACAGTCGATCCGTTTGGATCGTAGACGGCTTTCGTGGAGTACGGTGTCTGGGGATGTGTTTGAGCCTCCGTCCTCGGGTACTGCCGCGATGTTGCGTCCACCGGACCGGATTGAAGATGTTCGTGCTCGGAGAATTTGGGGGTCGGCGGATCTGGAAGGTAAGGAGTGACAGCAGCGTTTATCGGGTTGCTAGGCTTGGGATCCGATAACGGAGAGCCGGCGAGTCGGAGAAATGGGTAGATCGGGAGATTTGTAGCGGAGCGGTGCCTCGTTGGTGAAGATTCGAGACGAAAACCGGATGCTTTCGTCGAAGACTCAGATCCGTTCAGGCCGCCGCGATGCCGTGGATTTTGTATCCGCCGGTATTACTGCTCTGGTTTCTCTGCCGTCGATGTGTCACCATGCTCCGTTCCAAATTTCCCGGTGACGGCCACAGCCTCCTTTTTCTCTTTTTTGTAACTGTTTTCTAATCTGTAAACCCTAGACCCATTTGGGAAAGGCCCACTATGGGGAAGCCCATATTATTAATAAAGTTTATTAAAAAAAAAAAAAAAAAAAAAAAAAAAAAAAAATGAAATGTTTTGGTTCCCCATTTCCACTTGTAGAGAGACTTTTAACTGATATCTACAAGTCGCTTCGTTTTGTCCAATCCACATATTATTTGGCTATTTGCCATTCGTATCTATTGTAAAGTTAAAAAGTAGTTGCTTTTTTTTTTGTAAGATTTTTAAGAATTTTACTTTTTTTTCAAAAGAAAAAAAAAAGAAAAAAAATATTATCTAATACTGTAATCACAAGTGCTGTGAAAAAAAAAAAAAAAAAGTTTTTATCTAGTGATGGTTGAGATTTGTGAAAAAGTTGGAAAGAACTAACCTATTCGATCTACCCTGGAAATAAAAAAACACATTAATGTGAGAAGTTTGGGTTTGGGCCAAATGTCCAAACAGTTTACATGGTAGTCGGTAACCGTCGATCTGATTACCCCTGACATTAGTCGAAATTCGGGACAAACACTGTGGTGGCTATTCGGGAAGAAGTCCACTTTAAAGCACTTCGGTGCGTTTCTACCGGAGCTGATCGAATCAGCCGATAGGATTTATGAAAAAAATATAAATAAATAAAAAAGGAATAAAGCTAAATTTTACCATATTAGTACTCTTAAAAATACTTTTATAAGTTAAACCCTTTTCCAAATAAAAACATATGTTTTCATAAGAAAATTTAGAAATCAGAAAACTCAAAAACTAAAAATAAAAATGTTACTACCTTAGACATTTCCTACCTGACCAACTATTTGAAAGAACATCATAATCTTAATATTGCAATTACACCAGCGAAATTATTATAAATGAAATACAGATAGAAGCTTAGAATATGAAATGATAAATTTAGCGTAACAAATAGGGATTGTTATCTAAGCAGTATCGTTTTTTGACTTTTCTCTCTCTCAAAAGAGCGAAACAGTGACGGCGTTTACTCATCTTGTCCGGCGTCGGCCTCGACGTCGGAGCGCCGTCGTCCCTCCTCCGATAGGCCCTCCTCTCCTCATGAGGAACAAAAGCTCTTCTCGCAAACCTCCGCCGAGCCCTGCGGCTCTCCTCTCGTCTCCTTCAGCTTCAGATCCAGCCGCAATCGTGGCTTCTGTTTCGGGTTCTGGTGTGCGTCCTGCGGTGGCTGCTCCTGCGGTGACTGTCCGTGCCTTTCCTCCTCCTGCTTCGATTCCTACTGCCCCTGTTTCTCCCCGTGAGTCAGACATGGCCAGTTCAGATCTGTCTCCGCGCGCGTCAGATCCACGCTCCGTCAGGCCAGCCGTCTTGCCTGCCGCCATACCTGCGATTGCTGCTCCGTCGGCGAACCCAGTGCCATCACCCAACGCTGCAGCACCAGCTGCTGATTCGCCTTGGCTTGGTTTGTTCAAGGGCTCATCACGGGTCCTCTCCAAAAAAGGTACAGCCTTTACCCTTCCATCGGGTGAAGCCTGTGTAAAGATCCCTAATTCCGTCATCGAAAAGAACCAAAAGTCCTGGGATTCCTTCATCCTTGGTCAGTTCTACTCCGATTCACCGGCACAAGGGAAGATTCATGCCATTGTAAATGGTATTTGGAGCCGGTTTCATCGTGACATCTCTGTAACCAAGATGGAAGGCAATTCCTTCTTGTTCCGTGTCCCAAACTCTGCCACAAGAAACCGAATCCTTGCTCAAGGTCTCTGGCAAATTGAAGGACAGACCATGTTTGTAGCAAAATGGAAGCCTGGCCCTATCCCGCAGAAACCTGAGCTCTCCTCTGTCCCTGTGTGGCTTGAACTGAGAAATGTTCCTTACCAGTTCTTCAACGACGATGGTTTTGAGTTTATTGCAGGACTTGTTGGAGAACCCAAAGGGCTGCATCCCTCAACAGCAAATATGACTAATCTTGAAGTGGCAAAGGTCTTCACGCTTATTGATCCCCGTAAGCCTCTCCCGGAAGCTGTAAATGTTCAATTTGCCTCGGGAGAAATCTGTCGCATCCTAGTGTCCAGTCCGTGGATGCCTCCAGTCTGCTCCTTCTGCAAGGAAGTGGGGCACAGCCTTAAGCATTGTAAGCTAGCTCCTGTTACCTTCTCTGCTTGCAGCTCTGCTTGCCACTCCTCTCAAGACTGTCCTCGTGCCAAAGCTAAGTCAAAAAAGAAAACTACAAGGAAAAAAGAAGCTGTAGCAGTCCCTGTGACCTCTTCTATCTCTCCTGTGGTTGCATGCATTGTTTCAGCTCCAGACAAAGGTAAAGCAATAGCAGTTGCTTCAACTCAAGACAAAGGTAAAGCAATAGCGGGTGCTGCTGTTCAGGTTCAGGTTCCAAAGTCAAAGGAGTCGACTTCAAGCTCCTCCCAGTGGATTCAGGTCAAGCCAAAGTTTGCAAAGAAGCACGGGACAGGGGATAAGGCCTCATGCTCTTTTCCGGTTCAGGCTGATCCTGTTTCTTCTGCTAGACAGGACCATGAAGTTTCCCTAAGTATTGACATTGGTCTAGAGGAGATCCAGGCTGAGCAGGAGCTTCTGGATGCTAAGAGCCTTGCTTCTGACTCTTCGGATGTGCAGTCCTCTGAGGATGGTGTTGATCCAGAGGTTGATGAAAGGCAGTTCTTAAAAATGTTCTCACAGAGACAACAGAGGAGTTCGCGGGGCAAGGGCCCCAAACAAATCTAATCAATGTATACAAACATTTTTTGCTGGAATGTTAGAGGTTTTAATAAACTAAGTCACCGTAGAGGCTTTAAGGACTGGTTCAAGCTTAACCAGCCAATTTTGGGGAGTCTTATCGAGACTCACGTCAAGCAGCCAAAGCAGAAGAAGTTTTTATCTGCAATCTTACCAGGCTGGTCTTTTGAAGACAACTATGTTTTCTCAGATTTGGGGAAGATCTGGATCTTGTGGCATCCTAGTGTCAAGGTGTCAATCATTTCCAAATCCCTCAAGATGATGACTTGTGAAGTTCTCCTGCCGAATTCACAATCAGAGATTGTCATATCTTTTGTTTACGCAGCAAATGAGGAGTCGGCCAGAAGAGACCTTTGGTCTGAGATTGTTAGCACTGCCTCAAACAGTCGGGTGTAAGGGAAAGCTTGGTGTGTCCTGGGGGATTTCAATCAGGTTCTTAGCCCTTCTGACAACTCTACCTCCTAATTAAATCCAAATATTGATCTGCCTACAAGGCTGTTTCGCGATTGCTTGTTGGATGCAGATATCTCTGATCTAAACTACAGAGGATGCTCCTTTACATGGTGGAATAAGAGGAGCATAAACCCTATGGCTAAAAAGTTAGACAAAATCCTGGTGAATGAAGACTGGAATCTGGTCTTTCCTGGCTCTGTTGGTTTTTTTGGTGCACCAGATTTTTCAGATCATGCTTCCTGCTGCATCCAACTAAACCTACCTACGCAACGAAAGAGAAAGGCTTTTCGATTTCAGAATTTTCTGTTTCAGAATCCCAATTTCCTGCCTTTTATTGCAAATCAATGGTTCAGCTTCAATTTTGTGGGATCTGCAATGTTTAGACTGTCCAAGAAACTCAAAGCATTGAAGGCATATATCCGGCTATTTAGTAAAGAAAATTACTCAAACCTTGAGAAAAGAGTGAATGAAGCTCATGCTACTGTGCTTCAACTACAAAACCAGCTTCTTTCAAATCCAAATGCTGCTCTCTTTCAGTTGGAGAGAAGGGCAAATGAGAAGTGGCAAATCCTCCTTAAGGCGGAAGAATCCTTTCTTTGTCATCGATCCAGAATTACTTGGCTTAGTGAGGGTGACATGAACACAGCGTACTTCCACCGCATGACTGCAGCAAGACTTGCTATAAATCATATCCACTATCTTGTAGACAGCGTGGGAAACCAGATTGACTCTCAGGACAAAATTCAGGAGCACTGTGTCGACTATTTTACTTCTTTGCTGGGTGGTCCTGAGGAGTCTCCTCAATTTGACCCTGTTGACCTCTCAAGCTTGCTCAACTTCAGATGTTCTGCAAACCAACAAGACGTCTTAGCTGCTGGTTTCACTCCAGCTAATATTAAGGCAGCTGTCTTTTCTCTCCCGCGCAATAAAGCTTCAGGCCCTGATGGGTATTCTGCTGAGTTTTTCAAGAACTGCTGGCATATTGTTGGACCTGAAGTTGTTGAGGCAGTCTCTGAGTTCTTCAGATCTGGCCAGATGTTAAAGCAGTGGAATGCTACCACCATTATTCTCATCCCTAAAATTCCGAATGCATCTTCAACTGCTGACTTCAGACCAATCTCTTTATGTAACACCGTGTATAAGGTAATCTCAAAATTGCTTGCTGGTAGGTTGCATGCCCTTCTCCCATCAATCATCTCCAACGCCCAGTCTGCTTTTCTCCCGGGCAGATTGCTCGCTGAAAATGTTCTCCTGGCCACTGATTTGGTGAATGGGTACAGCAGAAAAAACATTGGACCAAGAGTGTAGTGACCCGTACATAGTTCGGGGGCGTTACAAAGAGGTATGCTCAAAGTTGATCTGCGGAAGGCTTTCGACTCGGTAAAGTGGAATTTTATAACATCAACAATGAAAGCTTTGCATTTTCCAGACTGCTTCATTAATTGGATCAGCCAATGTATTGAGACTCCCCACTTTTCTGTTTCTGTCAATGGAAATACTTCGGGTTATTTCTCTAGCTCAAGAGGTTTAAGACAAGGAGACCCGATCTCCCCTTATCTTTTTGTGCTAGCTATGGAGGTTTTTAGTAGACTCTTGCGTTCTAGTTTCGCGGCGGGTTTTATTAACTATCATCCAAAGACCAAGGAACTAGACATTACACACTTGATGTTTGCGGATGACGTAATGATCTTCTTTGATGGTTCGTCTTCGTCGTTATTTGGGATCGCTGAAGCTCTGGATATTTTTGCTGCTTGGTCTGATCTCACTATGAACTGCGAGAAAACTCAAATCTTTACTGCTGGCTTGGAACCTATTGAATCCCAAGAAATTTCTCACTTAGGATTTGCTACCGGTTCCCTGCCCATAAGATATCTTGGACTACCCTTGATGAGTAGGAAACTCAGAGTTTCAGAGTACTCTCCCCTCATTGAAAAGTTGACAAAGAGGTTCAAAAGTTGGGCCACTTCTTCTTTGTCTTATGCAGGACGTTTGCAGCTCATAAAATCTGTGATATATGGCCAAATCATCTTCTGGATATCCACTTTTATTCTCCCTAAGACGTGCATCAATAAAATGGAGTCTCTCTGTGCTAGATTCTTGTGGTCTGGCTCTATTGAAAAAGCAAAAGGGATTAAAGTGGCTTGGGCTGATGTTTGTTACCCAAAATTGGAAGGGGGACTGGGTCTTAGGCGCTTGGGATTATGGAACTCCACCCTCTGCCTGAAGCTTGTTTGGCTGCTTTTTTCGGGAAGTGGTTCTCTTTGGGTCGCATGGCATCACCATCATCATTTGAGAGGTCGAAGCCTCTGGTCCCTCAAAGCTGCCACAACTGACTCTTGGAATTGGAAGTCTTTACTGAACCTAAGAAACATCGCTGAGCCGTTTATTCGCTGCAACTTGGGTAATGGAAATATTGCAAGCTTCTGGTTTGACTCATGGTCTTCTCTTGGCCCACTAATCAATTGGTATGGTGAAAATGGTCCTAGAGAGATGCGCCTGCCTGTTCACTCGCTTGTCTCTGCCGCTTGTGATGATTTTGGATGGAATCTTCCACCTGTTCGATCAACGCAAGCTCGCAACCTCCATGCTCTGTTATCCACAGTCAATCCGCCGGATCCTTCTAATGGGGATGACAGCTATTGTTGGGTTATCCATGGTATTAGCTACAATCACTTTCCCACTGCTAGTACTTGGGACTCTATTAGGCCGAGAGCAGCTTTGAAGGGTTGGGCGTCCTCCATCTGGTTCAAAGGAGCCACTCCACGACATGCTTTCACAATGTGGATGGCTAAGTTGAATAGGCATCCAACCCGGAGCAGGATGGTGTCTTGGGGCCTGCCTGTGACCCCTACTTGCTGCCTTTGCTTGAACTACGATGAGACTCTTGAGCACCTCTTTCTGACTTGCCAGTTTAGCCAGCAGGTTTGGAACTTAATTCAGTCTCATATGCACTTACCCGTCTGCATTTTCTACACTTGGTGATCGCTCATTTCTTGGACAAGGCTGAGAACTGATTCCTCTCCTTCGATCCTTCGGAAACTGGCGAGCCAAGCCGCTGTCTACCACATCTGGAAGCAGCGAAATAATCTGATTCACAACCAGATTTCTGCCACACCTGCTGCAGTTTATAAAACCATTGAGAAGGAACTGCGTAACACAATCACGGCTAGACGGAACCAGAAGAAATTCAGGAACTTGATGCCGCTTTGGATTAGATAGTTTGTTGTCTGACACACAACAATTTGCTTTGTAACTCTTCTTTTTTATTTCTTTTTTGGCAAGGTTACAACCATAGGTTAAGCTCTTTTGTAAAACCTCAAAACTTCATTTATATGATATTAAGATTCCTATCAAAAAAAAAAAAATAGGGATTGTTGATTTGGCTAATATTCTAATAAACCCAAAAAAAAATTCAAACAAGCAAACATACATTTTTTTTTTTTAATTGTCTAAAATAGTGGTGGGTCTAAAAGGTCTTTAAAAAAAACATACTTTATTAGTTTCAAGATTTAGGGGCCGATTGGTAACGACTGTTACTTTCGGCTGTAGAGACTTTTGCTGTAAGGACTTTGGCTGTAGAAACTTTGACTGTAGAGACTTTAACTGTTAAAATGTGATTGGTAACAACAAAACTGTAGAAACTGTGGTTGTAAAAATTATGATTTTAAATAAAATTAATTACAGTGAATATAAACCCAAATTGTGATATAACAACGAAATTCATACAAAGAACTTTATGAAATTTTTTTATACATTCATATTTCTCCATTTTTGTATCAAATGTGATATCTAATTTTTTTTATATACATAAATGGATCTTAAAAGAGCAGAAAAAAAAATCAATTGTAAATTAGTTAATACTTTCTTAAGATTAATTTTCCAATGAATTTTATTAGAGATTTTCATATAATGGGAAAAAGAAAATAAGGAAAACTATTAATTTTTTTTTTTTTTTTACTTTTAAAGTCAGGTTTACGTGACTTTAGAAAAAAAAAGTGAATTCAAAGAGTAAAAAAAAAAAAGGACTTTGAAGGCTTTAAAATTATTCAAAGCAAAAAAAGTTTGATTGGCAAAATAAAAACTTTAAAAACTTAAAAACTTTTCTAAAGCTTTAAAAGTGCTTACCAATCATCCCCTTAATAAAACATTCAAAAAGTGGTGGGATAATGGGGCCGATTGGTAACTTACTTTTGGCTTTAAAGACTTTGGCTGTAGAGACTTTTGCTGTTAAGACTGTGACTTTAAAAAAATTTATAACCGATTGGTAAAACATGTGACTGTAGAAATTATAATTTTAAATAACTATCGAAAATGTGGAGAAATGGATCTTAATAAAATAAGAAAAAAATTTCCATTATAAATCAACTGAAATTTTCTTGAAATTAATTATTTAGAGAATTTTATGAGAGTTTTTATATTCATGGGGAAGAAGAAATAAAAAAAACTATAGGTTTTTATTATTTTTATTTTGAAAGTCAAGAATACGTGACTTTAGAAAAAAACTGAATCTAAAGAGTAAAAAAAAAGAATTGGCTTTAGAGCATCTCCAACCCACCTCTATATTTGCCTCCAAAATAGAGTTTAGATGCAAATTTACTCCAACACACCTCTATTCTCACCTCTAAAATAGAGATCTCTATTTTTTTCTCTATATATAGAGGTGAGAATAGAGAATCTCTATTTTTTCCTCTATAAATAGAGTTAAACTTTTTAGAGGAAAAAATAGAGGAACACATTGGAGTAAAAATAGAGAAAACTTACCTCCATTATAGAAATAGAGATAAAAATAGGGAAATACATTGGAGATGGTCTTAGAGACTTTTAAATTAACTAAAGCCAATAAAGT